CATCCTTAAAGAATTCCAGGAGATTTATCAAGCCTGATTTCCCACTTGTAGGCCGTGTCCGATTCTACCAGTTTTTTCTATCGCTGTGCTACAAGATTTTTGATAATAGACTCTAGTATCTTCCCCACTGCCTACATCAGACTCACTGGTCTGTAGTTCTCTGTTTTCTCTCTAACTCCCTTTCTAGATAGTGGGGCTACTCTCCAATCCGTAGGAACTCTTCCAGGGTCTAAAGAATCTTCGAAGATGACCACCAATGCATCCATTAATTCTAAGACCACTCCCTTAAGCACTCTGGGATGTAGATTATCAGGCCCTGGGGATTTATCAGTCTTCAATCCGATCTATATCTGTAACACCATTTCTCTATTAATACACACTTGCTCCAGTTCCACCCTCTTCCTAAACCCTGTTCCCAGTATTTGTGATACATTATTCATGTCCTCCTGTGGATAGTGGTGAGGGAGGGGACAGTGGGGAGGGGAGGGTGGTAGTGAGGGAGGGGAGAGTGGGAAGGGGAGGGTGGTAGTGAGGAAAGGGGAGTGAGGAGGGGAGGGTGGTAATGAGGGAGGGGGCAGTGGGGAGTGGAAGGTGGTAGTGAGGGGAGGGAAAGGGGAAGTGGTAGTGACAGAGGGGGTAGTGGGGTTGGAAGGGTGGTAGTGAAGGGAGGGAAAGGGGAGGTGGTAGTGAGGGGTGGTAGTGAGGGGTAGTGATAGGAGGAGAAGGAGAGGTGGTAGTGAGGGAGGCGGCCAGGGATTATGGTGGTGATGGAGTTGGGACCATGGAGAGTGGTGGTGAGGGAGTGAGGATGGGAGGGTGGTAGTGAGGGAAGGGGTAGTGAGGAGGGGAAGGTGGGTAAAATGAGAGTGGGGGAAGGGTCCTTTGAAACTTACAGCCAGCCCTGAGATGGAGTTCACTGCTAATACCCAGAGATCATGTTTCAAAGATAAAAGACCATTTTCAGGAACAAGTGTCAAAGGGCCTTCCCTTTGATAACTGCGGATATCACCTGTTCAGGTCTGCATCCCACTCTCTCTCTCTCTCATTTGACCACAAGTTCACATTTTGTTTGAGAGTTTAAGGAGAAGTGACCATTTGGTGAGGGGACTGTGCTGAAAGCAATGGGTCTAGCCCACTGCTGGAGTAAACTGTTGAGCTGTAAAATAATGCTGAAAGGCAAGGGTTTGGTTATTGATGGGTGTATTGCTGGGACACAACAGCCATCCCAAGATGAAGTTTTCAAAACCTTTTTAAAACAAAGGAATTTTGAATTAATTCATTTTGAGGCAGTGTAGGGGAAAGAAGCTGAGAGATCATCTTTAGGCACTCTCTGTGGACCTGGATTAATAATGAGTTCGTTCACTGGAGAAGGCTGAAAGAAGCCAATGATGCCTTTGTGAAGAGAGGGTGACAATACAGTGGTTAGATTGTATGATCATTTGAAAATGGCTTTACTTTGTGAATAAACAGTGAGGAAAATGTGGAAAACCTGAATAATGGAGAAAAGAGTGCTATTCGGAGCAGTGTGTCAGGAAAACTGGGTCAGAGTTCCAGCTGTGTCCCTTCCTCCAAGTTGTGAGAAACGGTTAGAAAGATACAGACAGTGTCATACAGTGGAACAAATCAAGACAGGAACACAAGAAGAATCAAGCGTCAGCATTCCCAAAGAGAGCAGTTTGTGTGGTAAATAATCTGCACATCAACGATTTGGAAAGAAATCAGAATTTGTGAACAACAGAGGAAGGTGCTGTCTATGAGACAATGAAGAGATGATGGATAAGAGATGGCGGATGGTGTCGATAACACAGAGGGATGAGTATCTAAGGCATGGTTATGTTGAGTGCTGTAATCCCTCCTCAGTCTGGTTCCCCACAGATGAACAAGAACCAGCAAGTGCTGCTCAGAGGAGCTGATGGACCTGCTCAATCTGGTTGATCTCTTGTCCCTGCTAAACATTGAAGGCAAATGGAGGGGAGGCTTATGTTTCCCAGTCAGGATCTCAGTTTGTGCGGAGCCCAAGACCTCAATAGGACAGAAACTTTGTTTAACATCTGCCCAAAACCCCTGTTACTGCTGTTGGTGTGTCAGAAGAGCTCTGAGCTGTATGCTGGTATACAGAGAGTACATAATCAGAGCACAGGCTAGAGACTGAGGGAAGCTGTCTCTAAACTTCATCAAATAATCCCAGGATAAATGCAACTTGGGCTTAGACACAGAATGGGATTCGTACAAACATATGCATTGGGAGCTGGGGTAGGCCCCTTGAGCCTGCTTCACCGTTCAGTCACACTGTGGCCTCAACTCCACTTACACGCACATCCCCAAAATCATTTAGTTCCCGTTAGTCACAAATCATTGAATCAAGGACCTTCATCTTAAGAATCATCAATGATCCAGCATCCACAGCTCTCCAAAGAAGAGAATTCCAAAGACTTGAGACTGTCTGAGAGAAAAAAATGTTTCCCTCTACACTGTCCTCATCAAACATTCCCAGGACAACTACTGCATGGGGTTAGATACAGAATAAAGCTCTCTCTGCACTGCCCCCCCCATCAAACACTCCCAGGACAGAGACATCACGGGGTTCGATATGGACTGAAACTCTCTCTACTCTTTTAAACTAAAAGTAAAGATCTACAATGTCCCAATAAAACATTACCAGCATAGGGACTGCACAGGTTTAGATACAGAGTAAAGCTCCCTCTGCTGTGTCCCTATCAGAACCTCCCGAGACAGCACAACTTACATATTATTTATTCACAAACATAGAAGTTGCTGGAAAAGCTCACCAGCTCTGGCAGCATCTGTGGAGAGAAATCAGAGTTAACGTTTTGGATCGAGTGACCCTTCCTTCCAGAACAGTTCTGAGGGAGGGCCACTCAACCTGAAACGTTAACTCTGATTTCTCTCTGTAGACCTGCTGAGCTTTTCCAGCGATTTCTATTTTTGTCTCTGATTTACAGCATCCGCGGTTCTTCCTTGTGTTTATTATTTATAAAGTACCTTGAGCTAAATGTCTAATGAGAATATCCAATTATAACATGATTTATTTAGTTTCCCATGCCTTCTGAGTGAAACCTCGCCTATTATTGCAGTTTGGTCCATTTAATTAATAATTGCTGGGATCTGTGCTCATTAGAACTGGATCGAGATGAACAAATTCATTCCATCGTCAAGTCTTTCTGCATTCCATCTGGGTTAGTCACAGTCATTGCTTCAACTCAATACTGACTGACATCCACTTTGTTGACAGGAGTACCAAGACATCAAAACATCTCGAGCTATAAATCCAGCGAACAAGGTTACTCACAGCAGTTTATCCACCCTGATCAATTCCTGCAAGGCAAGGTAAGACCACTCTGTTCACATTGTAGGATAATGGGATATGTGTGATGAGTTTTAACCAGCATTCCTGATGAGTTTTAATGGATGAATTTCAGAATTGATATTCCCCATGTGCTGAGCTTCTGCCCCCCTCCATCAAATCTAAGGCACCCTGGAGAACTGGGGTCCACAAAAATGTGCGGGTTAGGTGGATTGGCCGTGCTAAATTGTCTGTAGTGACGAACATAAGAACTAGGAGCAGGAGTAGGCCGTCCGGCCCTTCGAGCCTGCTCCGCCATTCAATAAGATCATGGCTGATCTTTTCATGGACTCAGATCCACTTACCCACGTTCTCACCGTATCCCTTAATTCCTTTATTGTTCAAAAAAAATCTGCCTTATCTCTAAAAACGTTTACTGAAGTAGCGTCAACTACTTCACTGGGCAAGGAATTCCATAGATTAACAACCCTCTGGGTGAAGAAGTTCCTTCTCAATTCAGTCCTAAATCTGCTCCCTCTAATCTTGAGGCTATGCCCTCTTGTCCTAGCTTCACCTGCCAGTGGAAACATCCTCCTTACTTCTATCTTATCTATTCCCTTCATAATTTTATATGTTTCTATAAGATCCCCCCTCAATCTTCTGAATTCCAATGAATATAATCCCAATCTACTCAGTCTCTCCTCATGAGCCAACCCCCTCAACTCCGGAATCAACCTAGTGAACCTCCTTTGCACCCCCTCCAGTGCCAGTACATCCTTTCTCAAGTCGTGCGGGTTAGGTGGATTGGCCGTGCTAAATTATCCATAGTGACGAG